TGCCTCTCAGCCTGGGTTGACAGATTTGCATTAGAGGGGCTTGCACTAGCGCGCTAACAAACAGCTGTATTGACGTTGCTTTGATGTTGCGCAGGCTTGAGATCCAATGTCTACACAGCTATTTTTAGCATGCTAGTGAGAGCCCCGCTAACAAAAGACTGTAGACCCAGGATGGGAGGCTCACTTCCAGATGCAGCGTAGACATACCCTATGTGCCAGCCTTGTTTGCCGGACACGTACTGCAATGATCAGGGTGAACCAGCAGCCGTGGAATACATCACTCACTTGAAATATTAAGAAAAAAAAGTCTTGACCCTAACGTGGGCTGAATGCCTCTCTTGTAACTGACCTGACAAGCCGGGTCGAGATCCATTTTTCTTCGCAGGAATTTTTCCACATGGCCGATGGTTGCTTCTCCTGAAACTCGCACAAACTTTTTTTCCAACGGCTGCAGAAAGAGCAGATGGTAAGCGACTTAAAAATGCTGAGTGTTCCCACCCAGGGTTCTCTACAGAAGATTCCTCCAGCCCCTGCTCAAACGCCCCACACACTACAGCTGAGGATGGCTGAATTAGACTCAGACTTTTAGGCCAGAAGGGACCATCATGATCACGTAGTCTGACCTCCTGCACATTGCAGGCCACAGAACCTCACCCATCCACTCCATTAACAAACCCCTAACCTCGGACTGAGTTCCTCTCTGCCCTGTTTCTAGATCACTTTGGGATGAAAGGCACTATAAATAAATAGATTCCCAGGGTCCAATCCTGCTCCTATCTAAATCAAGGGCAAAAACCCACACGGACGTCAACGAGAGCAGGACGGAGTTCCAAGTTTGCGTGCCAATTTCCTTTTTAACTACCGGGCAGCACAGATGCTGTACATAATTTACTACAGCATAGACATTAAATTGCTATCATGCAGTATGTTAAATACCTCTTTTCATCTATGAGCAAAGGAGTTGCCTGCCACTGGCACAAGAGGAAGTTTTAAAAAATGGGGGTCATGCCAATGAGCTCAGGACACACTTCAGAGCTACACTGAGAAAATAACACCTGGTGGTATTTCCCAGCCCACACAGCCTAATTTTTTTTTTTTAGCCTCTTATAAGTGATGTTTCAGTTCTGCTGTGGCTAGATTAGCACTTTCTGAATCCCAGAATCATTTTCAACATAATGTGTCACAGTGGGGAATACAATGGCTAGACTGGTTGGGAGGCTTTTACTGTCATTTCCAAGTATTTCCATGGGGAGGACTGTAACAACACGACATTTATTATGCCATTCTTGAAGATTTTTTTTTTTTAAGGATTTTTTCCCCACAGATAAAATGCTAAACAGCTGCCTGATGATTTGGGTGGGTACAAAGAAGAGACACAAAGACAGAACAGACTGCAGCACTCAGCATGATAAATGGATTTCCCTTTGTCCTAATTAATTGGATTTTTTACATTAAATTATGGACGGCTGTGATTTACTAGCCAAGCCATATTCCCAATACAAAGAGTACAATGAACAGGAAGGGCCAACCTACTCTGACTTATGTCACAGACACAAATATTTATTCCACTTGTAATAATCTAGCTAGCATGTTCAAACAATAACGCCTAGAAGTCAGAAACAGAGTCAGAACTACTTTGCTGGCCCATGCTATTGTAGCTTGGTGTACAGCACGAATGGGAGCATTGTTTATAGAACACACAAAACATGTTAAAAAAAGTCCCCTGCCTGGTGGAGCTCACAATCTAACTCAGCTATACAGGAGAATAATGCAGCAGGAAGGTGATTAGGAGACAATGCTGATAGGGAATCCAGGTAGAGAGATTTCACAAAAAATGGGTCTGAAGGAGAGATTTGAACATGGAGATTTAGCTTGGCTGGAAGAAGCAGAAAAGCATGAAGCCAAGAGTGAGAAAGGAAGTAGTGCGGGGAGCGGAATAAGAGCATGGGGAGAGGAAGGGAGGGAAGAGGAGGAAATGAAAGCAGAGAAGTAAATGGGGGCCTATTAATGACATAGCAAGGAAGTGGAAAGTGATGTAGAAAAACAACCAGTAAAGGTATTCAAGGGAGTTGAAGGTGATTCTTTGAGATCATTCAGGGCCCAATTCTGCCCCCTTCATCCATGTTAGTATCTTAGTCTGTTAACAGTCCAACTGGAACCAGTGGGACGACTTGTGAAATACAGCGCATGGTCAATAAAAGCTGGCAGAACCTGGAACTCTGTGTTTGTAGAAGATTTCTGAATTAAAGCTCAGTTTCAGTCAGAACGTTACTGGAACCCCGTATTTATGGCTTAAAAAGGGGTCGGATCAGGTTACAAAAAAATCCATTTCCTTACCTATGTCACAAACACCATCTTAGATTATTAAAATAGAAAGTGTTTTAAAAATCAAAACCTATTATTGCCTATGCAATTTATTTTTGCAGTTTCTCTCAGCTCAAACAAGTTCTCATGGACCAGTTCAGGTGTTGTAAGATAACGTTTCCTGAAACCTAACCTTTGGGTCAAATTTGATTTGACTCCTAATTTCCCACCCCCAATTTCAATACTAAAGAAATACAAACTGTACTATCCCCAAAGGAAAAAATCATGACACTGACACACTATTTGGCTCTGAAACTACACATCAGGAGGCTAAGTGACAGATGTAGCTGAGGTTTGCATAATCTCTGAATACCTAAGTAATGTATGTTGTTGATGTGTATTAATAACATAAAATGCATTTAACTCTAGTGGGAGTTAATCTGTATTCAGTGCCTACATCTGAACAGCTTCCTCTGAAGCCATTATATGAACTAAGAGGTGCCATCTGCATAGCTTAGAAACATAGAATGAAAATGAGGGAAAACTCCTTAAAAGGTGCTCACTGTGCATGCACATCAGCCTCAGTAAATGTTTTTTATTTCCCTCTAATGTTTTAGACTTTTTAGTGCCCCTTACAAATGTTTTTATTATAGGGAACAAATATACATCTCATATGGACATTTTTCAGTAATGGGAATTTTTTTTCTGTGCCATTAAAATGGCTGAATTGCTTTAAACTAACTGTGTAAGCTAATGTTACGTCTATCATGAAACCATGTACACCTCTTCAAATCCAGAAGGCTGAGCAAAGAATTGATGGGGAGATGGGATCAATCGAAGGCAAAGAGAATGAGGGTGAAACAGCAGTAAGTAAGGGGCAGAAACAATGCAGGAGACAAAAAAGGAGGAGAAAAACCACCCGGAGGCGGAGAGAACAATGTAGAGAAAGCAACTTGGCTGGAGATATTTTCAGGAAGGCAGCCTTCTCTCTGCAGATTACTTTCTCATTCACAAAATCTACATTCACAATTCAATTGTAGGCTCAGCTAAGCTCTTTGGGACAGGGACAATCTCATTTCAGTGTTGGTAGAGTGCCCAGTACAGTGGGGCCCTGTTCTCAGTTGGTGATTAAGCTCTATCATAATGATTAATAAATCATAACAAAGGTGAGTAGTTGCACCTGCGTTGCACCTATTCAGATTTGTGCCTGCAGTCTGGACAGGAATCAACCCAGCTAAAAATAAAGATGAGGCAAAGGAGAAAGGATGGGAAAGAATTAAGACAATTTATATGTAATATGTTAGTAAAATGCTGTTTGCTTCCATTCTTAAATATTAAGATTGCATATCTCAATGCTAAATGTACCCATGTTTAGTTTCTTTTTTACAATCTGCTACTCTGTGTGGTTCCACAGCCTTTTATTCCTAACATCCTGCTGCCATAAAAGGTAAAATGTAATATGTGACTACATAATTTAAAGTTTCATCTATTGCTTGGCTTGAATAGAGCCTGTTTCCAAGGTATTTATTCACATACTGAAATTATACACTTTGCACATCCTTAATTACAGCCTGCCAAATTCTGGAGAAGGCAGCAAGAGATGGGCAGTTTCACATCGTGACACTACACCGATTTGGCACAGTAGGAACAAGTTTTCGTTCACTCTACGTTGCAATACTGCAGAGCTATATTTCTTTTCCAATTCAGCAACCTCCATTCACAGAAGAGATGAATGTCTTTAACAGAGAGATCAAGATGAGAGTGAACTAGCAACTGACCAGGGAAGTCTATTTAGCTGCCTAGCAAATATGCACAAATATTTTTTTTGTGCCTTCCATCTTCCTCCTGCGGTTATACATTAGAATTTAAGACTACTACCTCTTGGTTGATAAGTACACAAACACACATTATAAACTACCTCTTCCAGAACAAATCAGAGATTTAAAAACAAAACAAAACCCCAAAAAACTGCAATATTCTGGGCACGACTACTCCCTTGGGCAGAATTCCAACTAAAGGCACAGACAATGAGGGCACTCGTCCCCCAGAGACAGAGCCTGAAGCAACAAGCAAGACTAGTCAGTTTTATTATGTTCCATTCTCCCATACTAAAATATTATTTTCCTGTCTTTGTAGTCTCTCTTCTTGCCACGCCCTGTGACATTATGCAATGATGGATTTTAAAGTACAATGTAGCCCAATATCACTTTATACTCCACTGGGTAAACTCCAGATTGTGTGTCCAGGTGTACTTCTAGTGCAAGGCAAACCCGGATGAGCTAAATTCAATTAGGATTAAAGTTATACAAATTTCCCAAATGAAATGTATAGGAAAATAAATTCAAGTCACATTCATACCTTAAAATTCCCTGCGCCTTCATTAGCTCTGAAAGACAAGAGAAAAGTTAACAATCAATAATATCTCTAAGCGACATGGTTATTAGCAACCTCAAATTACTATAATCAATAAGCCACAATCATACCACACAGTTTTGGTGCATTAAATACCCTTAAAAAAAAAAACACACCAAAAAACACAACCAAGGTATTTCCTTTTAATTGAATTCCTAATGATAAATGAAATACAAATAGATCGCATTTATATAGTTGTTCCTTTTTCTCCTCTATTGCATTCCTGTCAAATAAACCCTTTATATCTTTTTCATATTTAAATCTGCCACTCTGAAGTGAAAACAAATAAGCCAGAATAATACACTCAAATCTCATATATACTGTAAACTATCAGATATAACACTAACTTTCTTAGAAGTGGTCTGGAACAAAAAAATAGCATGGATAACTAGAAAAATAAAAATGTCTTCCAAAGGTTACAAACATTGCTGTCTAGGTATTTATACTGTGCTTACCACTGGTATCTAAGCTCCTAACAGACAGTGCTCAATAGTACTGACAGAGCACCTCATACTATTGTAGAGATCTCTGGGCCTAAACATTGACCTTTCAGAGTATGTTACTCCTAGGGGAATTCTGTGCCAAAAAAATAAAAAATGTGTTGCCAAAAAACTAAAAATTCTGTGCACAATATTTTAAAATTCTGTATATTTTGTCAAAATAACACAATATAACCATTCCAGTTTCAGTTATTCTGAGAATTTATTTCAAAATACCTGTCAGCAAGTATGTCTAACAATACAGACCAAAAAAAAAAAAAGATCCAGGATATATATTTTTTGACAAATAGATTCCTTACTAGACATATTAATACAGAACTTTGAGTAATAATTCATTTAAACTACAATACAGAAACATATTTCCCGCACCCCTCAAAAGTAGTGCAAAGGTTTGGGGGAGTCAAGGGTAACAGGAGCTGAGGGAAGTAATTGCTGGGAAGGAGCCTGGCAGTGAACCTGGGTGTGGGTGGGAGAAGTATGGAAGAGTTTTGGATTTTTGGGGGGTGAGGGGGTGAGGAATTGTTAGGGAGTTGGGGAGCCTCCCCCACGCAGACCCTTAGTCTCTCCCATTCAGGCAGGCACATCCGTCCCTGTCCCCATGTGTCCCTTCTGCATCCACTCCCACCTCCCCATCCCCATGTGGCCCGGCAACCCCCCAACCCATTCAGCCCCTGGCTCAATGCAGTCACCCTACTAGCTCCTGACCCATGCCCCAGTCTGTCCCCCCACTAGCTCCAGTCTGTGACAACCCCAGAAACCCTGTGTGCCCCTCTCTGTCCGTCCTGTGCCTCCTCATCTGGCCCCACTATGAGGAATGCAGCCTCTGTGCTGGTTGGCTGGCCTCTATTCTGGTGCCACAGCAGCCCCCGGTGGGCAAAAGATGTAGCTGCAGCACCTCTCCAGCAGAATCTATATTCTGCAGAGAAAAAAAAAAATCTGCAGGGGACAGGAATTCTGCACATGCACAATGGCGCAGAATTCCCCAGGAATAGTACAAATATGTTGATTAGTGCAGACACTATCTAGGAAAGAAGGATAATACCAAATGCTTCAGATGAAAGCAAAAAAGAATTGGCCAACCCCCTCTCCCCCAAACAGAGCAACATTCGCAGCTAGTGTAAATCAAGAGCTACACTGGCTTCAATGGAGCTACACTGGTTAACACACCAGCTGATCATCTGGTCCAGGGAGTATGTCTGGACAACAGCACAATAGTGTACATTTAGGTGGGAGGGATAGCTCAGTGGTTTGAGCATTGGCCTGTTAAACCCAGGGTTGTGAGTTCAATCCTTGAGGGGGCCACTTGGGGATTTGGGGAAAAATCAGTACTTGGTCCTGCTAGTGAAGGCAGGGGGCTGGACTTGATGACTTTTCAAGGTCCCTTCCAGTTCTAGGAGATGGGATATCTCCATTAATTAAAAAAATTAAGGTGGTGAGGGTGGAGCAGAGAAGAATTCCAGCTAACAGTTCAACACAGGAAAAACAAGCCAACAGAGTTTTACCTATTAAAAATTCTCTTAAAAAGGATGGCTTTCACCATGAACAATGCCCATTTCCTCGGGTCTCATTATTTGTGTGTCAACTAAGGATTTGTAAGAGAAATAACGCAGCACTTTTAGTTTGTCTTGGAAGAAGCAGAATCAAGCACTGCCCATTGAATGTTTATTGACTAGAATTGCTACGGACCACATACACGCAACAGAGAAAAATGTCTTTGCAATGCCTACACGGACCAAGTGTTAGCGTGAAGCTTTAGATTGCTATATTTAGGTATCACCATCTCCAATATGTGCCTGCCACGAGACAGACAGCTGAATAAAACCAGCATTACAATCAGCTGCTGAAATGTATTTTAAAAGATTAGCTGCCTTTTCCTAGGTGTGGGGACAGAATCGCACAGGCTAGAATTTTATCTTCCAGAATGCCTCACTTTATCCGTTGTCTGCACGTGTGTCTGAGATTGGACAGGAGAGTACAGTCAGAATGATTTTAAAAGGGATTGAAGAATAAAGTTATCAGAAGGAAAAGAAAAAAAAGATGGTGATAAGCATTTCCGTTCCAGGAGTGGCTCTCTCTGATCCATTTCCACTGCTGCAGAAAATATTTAACCATTTCACGTGCTCGGAGAACATGATACAAGTAATTCGGGAGCAAATTTTTAATGTAAAAACTCTGGCTGGTTGACCCAACCCTTTTAAAGTTTTCTTTAGTCGCTGAGACTTCATAATCTCTCCCTCTATTTCCTGGGCAAGTTATTTCTGATGTTAAGTTTTGAAGAGGAAAGCAAAACATTTTTTACAACATCTGCAAGTCTTAAATATCTGCCTAAGAGCAAAGGTTAAAAAAAAGAGTCACCTAAAAAAAACCCGCTCCTTGTTACTGCTGTTACTTTTCTTACTGGCTCCTTAGATTACTGAACTCAAAAGAGTGTTTTTGTTGTTGCTGCTTTAATTTAAGTCTTCACTTTTTTGCTATTTTCTTACTTTTTGTACTTCACTCAGTATAGTCAATGAAACCAAACTGGTCAGTTTCACATTGTGTACCGAAGTGTTGCAAAAAACTATTATGTTTGAGTTGCAAACACTCGAAAGGAAGCTTCAAAACCAAACCCGCGGAAAAAGAAATTCAATCAACACACACACACACACACACACACACACACAACAAACGAACGTATTTGGGATACTAAATTGCCT